TATTGTGTTATAACAGAGCTTTATGAGATCGCGATTAACTGAGATGTCAGCTTTTAGTGATAATAAAGGAAGCGCTGCTCGCATTCTGCCAGACCAAACCATGCACACAGCAGCCCATGCTTGCTTTTCTGTTAAAAATAACAGTGGTTTGTTAATGTTGATGCTTAGCCTAAATAACAAATATTTTATCGAGAGCATTTATGCTGGGATATTGTGGAGCTTAGGAGATGTTATAGAACCATTTAATGTAAATTTCTTCGATGTACTGAAAAAATCTATATAGATTACTTTTATGCGGGCTTTTGCGGGCGGGAGCAGGACAAACCATGAATGTCGCGGGCGGGAGCGGGACCAGATAAGATATATTTCTGCGGGAGCGGGACTGAAAAATCCGTCCGCGCAGGTCTCTACTTCGAAGCTTTTGACACAGTGCTCTACCCCGCCATCAGGTGGTCAATAAAAATTCTTACACCAACTGTATCATTTAGATGTTTTATTCTTTGGGATGTCATTGTAAGGTTTAATTGTCTATTTAATAAGCATATGTGTCATAGCAAGACGGCAGTGTGTGCTTTGTATTTGAGCCTAGCATGACGTGTCAGTGAGGTAACGAAGCTTCGTTTTCACAGGTCACGTGACAGCCTCATTTCAAACAATGCTCCGGAACACTGTTTCGAAGCACTAGTGTGTCAAAAACTCGAAACATGTGTCGACACTAGGCTGCGTCCGAAATGTCATACTCAATGAGTAGGTACTTAATTTCAATAAGTAGGTACTTAACGAGCGCTAAAAGAGTACGTTCTCTACAGCCAAATCTCATTGCGTATGGACTAAAACGGTGCAAAACGGTGCACACCGGTTTGAGTTTGAACTTGCCCCTGGTGTGTCAAAAACTCGAAGCGTGTGTCAATATCGCAAGCCGTTTTAGCATTTAAAAGCTCGTTTTGACTATCCATAAATATAATTTAAAGAGGTTTCTTATGCTCATCAAGCCTGCATTTATTTGATCAAAAATACAGAAAAAAACTGAAATTTTGTGAA